GCACGGGATTCGAACGAGCGGGGATTTAAAAATGGCGGAGCCCCGCTTATGCAAATGAAGCCCGGGAAATTCAAATCCCGGGCTTCATTTGCAATTGCGGTATGCCTACATTACCCTCCTATTTCGAATTAGGAGGGTAGTGTAGACATAACCCCTTCAAAGAACTCTATGGGTAACAAACATGAAGACAAAGGGAGATCCAGTAGATATAGTATACTTAAGATTTTCAGAAAGCCTTTGACAAGATCCCTCACCAAAGGCTCTTGTGTAAGTTACATTGCCATGGGATAAGAGGGAAGGTCCTTTCATGGATTGAGAACTGGTTAAAAGACAGGAAACAAAGGGTAGGAATAAGTGGTAAATTTTCAGAATGGAGAGGGGTAACTAGTGGTGTCCCCCAACGGCCAGTCCTGGGACCAATCCTGTTCATCTTATTCATAAATGATCTGGAGAAAGGGGTAGCAGTGAGGTGGTAAAGTTTGCGGATTATACTAAACTGTTTAAGATAGTCAAGACAGAAGCAGACTGTGAAGAACTTCAAAAAGATCTCACCAAACTGAGTGATTGGGCAACAAAATGGCAAATGAAATTTAATGTGGATAAATGTAAAGTAATGCATGTTGGAAAAAATAATCCCAACGATATGTGCAGCATGATGGGGGCTAATTTGGCTACGACAAATCAGGAAACAAATCTTGGAGTTATCGTGGATAGTTCCCTGAAAACTTACACACAGTGTGCAGCGGCGGTCAAAAAGGCAAATATAATGCTAGGAATCATTAAGAAAGGGATAGAAAATAAGACACAGAATATCTTAATGCCCCGGTATAAAACTATGGTACGCCCACACCCTGAATACTGTGTACAAATGTGATCTCCTCATCTCAAAAAAGATATTTTGGCCTTGGAAAGGGTTCAGAAAAGGGCAACAAAAATGGTTAGGGGTTTGGAACGGGTCCCATATGAAGAGAGGCTAAAGCGACTGGGACTTTTCAGTTTAGAAAAGAGGAGGCTAAGGGGGGATATGACAGAGGTATATATTTTTATTAGTTCCCATAATAGAAGAACTAGAGGAAACCAAATGAAATTAATGGGTAGCAGGTTTAAAACTAATAAAAGAAAGTTCTTCATAAAGTGCATAATCAACCTGTGGAACTCCTTGCCAGAGGAGGCTGTGAAGGCTAGGACTATAACAGAGTTTAAAGAGAAGTTAGATAACTTCATGGAGGTTAGGTCCATAAAAGGCTATTAGCCAGGGGATAGAAATAGTGTCCCTGGCCTCTGTTTATCAGAGGCTGGAGATGGATGGTACGAGACAAATCGCTTGATCATTGTCTTCGGTCCACTCCCCCTGGGGCACCTGATGCTGGCTACTATCGGCAAACAAGCTACTGGGCTGGACGGACCTTTGGTCTGACCCAGTAAGGCCATTCTTATGTTATGAAATGCAAAGTACTCCACACCTAGGAAGGAGCAATCAGTTTTACACATACAGAATGGGAAGCGACGGTCTAGGAAAGAGTACTGAAGAAAGGGATCTAGAGGTCATAGTGGACCACAAGCTAATATGAATCAACAGTTTGATGTAGTTGCAAAAAAAATAAAACATGATTCTAGGATGCATTAACAGGAATGTTATGAGCAAGACACAAGAAGTCATTCTTCCGCTCTACTCTGCGCTGATTAGGCCTCAGTTGAAGTATTATGTCCAGTTCTGGGAACCACATTACAAGAAAGATGTGGAGAAATTGGAGAAGGTCCAGAGAAGGAAGACTGAAATAATTGGGCTTGTTTAGTTTAGAAAGGAGAAGACTGACAGGGGACATGATAGCGGTTTTCAGGTATCTAAAAGTGTATCACTAGGAGGAGGGAGAAAAATTGTTCTCCTTGGCCTCTGTGGATAGGACAAAAAGCAATGCAAGTTTAATTTGGACATTAGGAAAAACTTCCTAACTGTCAGAAGGGTTAAACCCTGGAATAAGTGGCCCAGGGAGGTTGTGGAATCTCCATCTCTGGAGCTATTTAAGAGCAGGTTAGATAGACATCTATCAGGGATGGGCTAGACTACTGTTTCCCAAATAGTGCCCTGCGGAACCCCGGGGTTCCCTGAAGTGAAAGTAAGGGTTCTCCGAGAAGCCAATCACTCCTCCTCCCCCCACCCCAAGCCAGTCTTAGGGGCAGGCGAGCTGGGCGGTCACCCGGGGTTGCCATTTTCAAGGGGCCACCGCAGTTTTAGGGGTGGGCCAGCATTTTGGGGTTTTTTTGCTTGCCCGTTATTCCACCTTTTTTTTTGGTTGACCAGTTTCCCCCGGCCTTTTTTTTTGTAAGGGTTCCATGGCTAAATAAAATTGGGAAACACTGGTCTAGATGGTACTGGGTCCTGCTGTGAGGGCAGAGGACTGGATTCAATGACATCTCGAGGTCCCTTCCAGTTCCAATATTCTATGAAAGTGACACAAGAGAAACATCCTGGCACCCCAGACCCCTTCTATTTAAAATGAGAAAATATAGTAAAATATTTGCTATTTTTACAGTCATTAGAGTCATCTTTCAGATGTTAAATTTTAGCAATGATGCTTTTTAAAATGAGAGAGTAGAATACCTATAAGTTTGTCGTAGTCTACACCTTTTGCATTGGATGTCTGCACCGTCCAAGGGTCTACGAAATCCTCATCCAGTGCGGTAGTGGGGCCATTATTACTCATTGGTGAAAAATCTACTGGAGGAGAACCAGCTTTGTAATCTTGTCCTGTTGCTGCTTTATACTTCACTTTTAATGACAATAACAACTTCACTGCTGCATCAATTTCATCCTGCGCCAAGGAAAAATAAGATGGAATTCACTTAAGACAAACTATGTTACTACAGCTTTGCTCCTTCAGAAACTTACACACATGCATTGAGTACAATGGGACTACAGGTTGATCCTTTCAAATCTGGGACTCTCTGTCTAGCAACATCTGTGGTCTGGCTGGGGAGCCACTGGTGTCAGTAGAGCCAGGCAGCGGCTGGGGAGCTCACGCTCCAGCTGTGGAATCCCTGGAAACTCCCAGTGGCAGTGGGGCCAGAGACCAGGCAGCTTGTTTGGGATCTGCCCCTGGCTGAAGCAGGGCTGGTGGAGATGGGTGGTTAGAATCCTCAGCAACAGTAGGGTGGGGTGACTGGGTGGTCCCGGCTAGGGAACCCCTGGCAGCAGCAGGGCCTGTAGTGGCCAGGTGGCCCCATCTGGAAACCCTGGGAAAGAACCTGCGGCAGTGAGACCAACAAGGGCCAAGCAGTCCCCTGCAGGAACCCCGGGAGACCGTAGGGGAGTGGGTGGGTAGCCATGCTAGGCCAGCATTAGTGGGGCCAGCAGCAGGGCAGGGAGCTGCAAGGAGAGGAGCCTGAGAGCCGGGCAGACAGCAGGGACAGCACAGGTCATGAGGGTTCCAGACCAGGGAGGTCCAACCTGTATTCATGTGCTTCAAGTTAAGCAGGATCAGTGGCCAAGTTAAAAAGAAAGGAAGTGGCATGTAGGACAGTTTCTTAATGCTCCTTGTAAGCATATAATAGGAATTTACTGTGTAATCTTTGGCAAATTAATCAAGGCCCTCTGTGCTCCACTTTTCCAAATGTAAAAGAGGGACAAAGATATTTACCTGCTTCACAGGGAAGTGGTGAGGCTTAAATCATTTAAGAATTGAGTCAGCAGTTATGCTTAGATAAAGGTGCTATAAAATTATTATTTTTCTAGAATTACTCCTGTAGTAGATATATTTAACTTTTTTTAATTTGCTAGTACACCTTGATAAACTGTAATACCTTCTTTACAATTCACATAGTTATTTTATGTTCTATATAATTTAATGTTATTGTAACAGCTCATGCATGCACACACAGTTATGTGCTAAGATTTCTTATCAAAGTTTCACTTGGAAAAACAAATCTTTAGAGCCAAAACCTATTGCCATTCCCCATGTAGATCACCTACTGAATTTAATTCTATTTGCACAGAGACTGATGATGGGAAAAGGCATTCAGAGCTAAACACTGATCCCATTTAGGTTAGCACAAAATTGCCTAATGACTTCTAGAAGACTGAGTAGCCCCTGTGTGTTCAGACATAAAAAACCACTTTATAAAAATATTACTATAAAATAGTGCTTTGCCTCAAAATTTGGAAAGGTCGGTATTACTACCAACATTTTAAAGTAAGAAAACTGAAATGCAACAAGCCTAACAGACTTAAGGAAGGCAACATAGCAAGTCAGTGGCAGAATTAGAATATTGGCCCCTAAATTTAGTTACTCCCAATTCCTTCTTCAGGAAAAAACAACTTTGGTCATTTTGAGTAAGATAATAATAATAATAATTACAAAGTCTGTATTTAACAAAATATTTAAAAAAGCAAAGATTATTTTATTACTAGAATATTAAAATAGCATCCCAAGACACAAAACTGTTCAATGTGCTAAGAGTAATAAGCTGCAAAATGGAAACAGTTCAACAAATGAAACAAAAATACCGTTGATGCTTTCTCTGCTTTCAGCGATCTGACTTTTTCTCCTTGTGCAGTCACTCTTTCAAACAGCTCAAGTGGACTTGAAATGCAAGAGTCACAGTTCTGAAAATCTGCCATTTTTCAGGAGTGTAAATTATCCCTTTTATTCACAATCTAAAGTATTTTATCCAGCAGGTTCAAAACAGCTGCAGCAACAGACTGGAGAAGGAGAACAGCAAAGAAATACCAAGATCATACATTTTGTTTTATTATAATTTTAAAGACTTCTGTTCAAACTCTTTACCCATCTGACATGATGCCATTTAAATTCACCCATGGAAAGTAATATGTTTGAAGATTGTTTTTTCAGCACTAGTTTTCTGAAACTAAAGACACTTAGCACAATGGAATCCAGTTTTACACCATATATTTAGACTTTTGAACTAGAGGATGGGCACTGCACTGAAGGAAATAAAATCACAGGTTGATTCATAACACTGTTCCTCTAAAATATATGTATGAGCACTAATTAAATTATGCTCGCTTATTTTATGTCTCAACTTGTATTCTACTTCTCCCCTCTATACAACCAATCTTGCAAAAAAAAAATCCAAAAAATATATCTTGGGTTCATAATATATCAGCTAAACTTTTTGTTTTCTTTATCTCCTGAACCTGTTATTTGTCCCTTTTAATATTTATTTCTCACTTTATTTAAAGTAAAATGGCACATTTATGACAATTAAGTAGAATCTCAAAGTTATGAACACTTTAGGAATGGAGATTGCTCATACTTCTTAACAATATGTTATGTTATGGTTGTTCTCTCAAAAGTTTACAACTGAACACTAACTGAAATCAGTTTTGATACTTTACTATGTAGAAGAAAAATGCATGTAGCCATCTTAATTTAAATGAAACAGACACAGAAATAACTTCTTTACTTTGTCAAATACTTTACTGGGTGATCTACCTGTCATCTAGTCCCAGGTTCTATAATGAGAGGCTTAGTGATACCCAAAGCATGGAATTGTGACCATGATCAGCTTGGCTAATAACCATTGATCAATCTATCCTCCATTAACTTATGTAATATTTTTTTCAATACAGTAATTCTTTTGATAGAAATGTAGCCGTGTTAGTCTGGGGTAGTTGAAGCAAAATGCAGGACAATGTAGCACTTTAAAGACTAACAAGATGGTTTATTAGATGATGAGCTTTCGTGGGCCAGACCCACTTCCTCAGATCAAATAGTGGAAGAAAGTAGTCACAACCATATATACCAAAGGATACAATTAAAAAAAAGAACAAATATGAAAAGGACAAATCACATTGCAGAACAGAAGGGGGATGCGGGGGGGTGGGAAGGGGGAGGAAGGAAGGTAAGTGTCTGTGAATTGATATACTTTTGACCTTCACAACAATGAATGGCAATGAGTTCCAGAGACTGACTGCGTTGTCTGAAAAGTATTTCCTTATTATATCGTTGAGATGTGGTGACCAGGACTGCATGCAGTATTCAAGGTCTGGGTGTACCATGGGTTTCCACAATGGCAAAGTGATATTTTTTATCTTCTTACTTATTCCTTTCTTAATGGTTCCTAACTAGGGATGTGAAAGGTTAATTGGTTAACTGATAGAGGCTGGAGCAGCTCCCTGCCTACCATGGGCAGAGGGCTGCTCTAGCACTGCAGGGGGCCCACTGCGGACAGGGGCTGCTCTTGTTCAGAGCAGCTCCTGTCTGCGGAGTACCCGGGTGCTCTGCAGGCAGGGGCTGACCCAACATCCAGAGCTGCTCCAGCAGGGGGCTGGGAGCCAGTAGGCAGCCCTAGGGCAGGGCTGGGTGCAGGAGCTTTGTGGACTAAGGGCTGCTCCAGCTGGGCTGGAACGGTCTCCAGTCAGAATCCTGCTTTAGTTAGTTAACTGATCAAATGTTAGGCCAACCTAATGTTTAACAAGTTAATGTTTAAATGATTAACCAGGATTTTACATGCCAATAAATCCTGACTAACTGTTTGGACTGCTGCTGCACATTTAACATATGTTTTCAAAGAACTATCTACAAAGACTCCAAGATCTCAAGTGGTACCAGCTAATTTAGACCCCATCATTTTGTATGTGCTGCTGGGACTATGTTTTCCAATGTGCATTACTTTGTAATTATCAACAGTGAATTTCACATACTATTTTCTAGCCTAGTCACTCAATATAGTGAGATTCCTTTGTAACTTCTCCATTGCCAGGTTTGGATGTACAGCCGCTTCCCGAGTTACGGCCACCTCCACTTACAACCATCCGCACTTATGACCAAAGCTGTCGTAAATGCTGATCTGAGTTATGAACAGCAATCCACGCTTACGAACAGCACGGTCACCATGTAACTCTATGGGATCCGAGTTACGAACACTTGGAGTTACGGACCAAGTGTTTCTGCTGTTCGTAACTTGAGAAGCGGCTGTAACTATTATGAGTTATTGTGTATTGTCTACAAACTTTGCCACCTGACTGTTTACACTTATTCCCAGATCATCTGTTAATATGTTAAATAGCACAGTTCCCTCCCAGTACACATCCTGACTATTTACAGCACAGGGAAGTCTCTTATTAAAAGACCCACGGAGCAGAGACTGACCCAGCATTTCTGTTCACTTGCTTCCCTGTGCTGTAAAATGCAGAGCGGCAGCTGGGACGGGAGAGGGTTGTATGCTGAGTCATAAGAGACCCACAGAGCAGGTACTGACCCAGCAGCTCTGTGAGCTGGCTTCCCTATGCAGAGTGGCAGTTGGGGAGATGCAAATTGTCAATAGTGCTCCTGCTTATCGGTTAGTCAACTAGTCACTAACATCCCTAATTCCTACCCTTTATTTCCTATCTTTGAATCAGTTTCTGATTCATGATGGGACCTTCTCTCCTATAACTATTTTGCTTAAGAGCCTTTGGTGATGAACTATGTGAAAAGTTTCTGAAGGTCTGAGTATACTGTATTTACTAGATCACTGTTGTGCACATGTTTATTGAGTCCCTCAAAAAACTGTAATAGAATGGTGAGGCAAGAGTTCCCTTAAAAACTGTATTAATTCTTCCCCCAATATACTGTTTTCATACACGTGTCTGATCATTTTGTTCTTTACTATACTTTCAACCAATTTGCCTACTATCAAAGTTAAGGCTACTTACTGGCTTGTAATTGCCTAGAACGCCTGAAAGTTTTTGAAAAAATTGGCATTGCATTAGCTATTCACAAGTTATTTGGTACATAGTCTGATTCAAGTTACAGATTACGTATCTCAGTTAGTAGTTCTGTCATTTCATATTTGATTTCCTTCAGAATATCTAGTTATGTTGACTTATTACTGTTTAATTTATCAATCTGTTCCAAAACTTCCTGAATTGGCATCTCAGATCTGGGACATTTTTTCAGATTTGTCACCTAAGACAAATGATTCAAGTGTGGAAGTCTCTCTTACATCATCTGCAGTGAAGACCAATGGAAAGAATTAAATTAGCTTCTCTGCAATCGCCTTGTCTTCCTTGAGTGCTCCTTTAATACCTCAATCATCCAGTATCCCTGATTATTCTTTGGCAGGCTTCCTGCTTCTGATGTACTTCAAAAAAATATTTGCTTTTAGTTTTTGAGTCTTTTACTTTTTCTTCAAATTATTTTTAGGTCTGCTTAATTATACTTTTACATGCTACTTGATTTTTTGCTCCTTTTTATTTTCCTTAGTAGGATTTGGCTTCCAAATTTTAAAATATGTCCTTTTGTGTCTAACCACATCTTTTACTCTATTTTTAGCTATGGTGGGGTGGGTTTTTGTCCTCTTATTATTTTTTGGGGGGGATTTACATATCATTTGCACTCTCTAGGATAATGTTTTAAAAATATTTCCATGAAGCTTGTAGGCATTTCATTCTTATGACTGTTCCTTTTAGTTTCTATTTAACTAGCTTCCTGATTTTACTGTAGTTCTCCTTTTTTATGTTAAATGCTACTGTAGTGAGTTTCTTTGGAATGTTCCCCCCCTACAAGGATGTAACATTTAGTTACTTTTTGGTCACTATTGTTGAGTGGGTCACCTATATTCATTTCTTGGATCAAAATCTGTGCTAGGGATGTAACAGTGTAGTCGATTAACTGATAAGCAAAAGCTTATAGGTTAATGCCAAAGACTACACACATTTCCCCTGCAACCCTTGCCAGTAAATTTTTTTAGCAGGCTGGCCAGCAACCCAGCTCAGTCCTGGCTTGCACCAGGTCCTGGACCTACCCCTGCTGTGACTCTGCATTTAAAGTGTTTTAGGAGCTGGGCGTGCAGGCAGCCCAGCTCAGTTCCAGTTCGCACTGGATGCAGGAGCTGCTGCCATCCTATCAGAGGCAGCAGCGCAGGGCGACAAGCAGCTGATCTGCAAAAGGAGCTGGTTTTTAAACTGTTTCCCCTCGTGGACTAGCTCCTGCCTGGCACCCCACACTGCTGCTGTCCCCGGGGATTAGAGAATAGTCAACTGATAAAAATCCATGAGGTTACTTGACTATTCAATTTACCGATATTTAACATGCCTAATCTGTGCATCACTTAGGACTAAGTCAAGAATTAACATTTCCCTTGAGCATTCCATGACTAGCTCCTCCAAGAAGCAGTCATTAATAGTGCCCAGAAATTTTCTCTCTCCATCCCAAACTGAGGTGACAAGTTTCCAGTCAATATGGGGATAGTTTACATCTCTCATTATTATTGGTTTTCTGTTTTTGTAATCTCTCTAATTTCTCTGTTACCAT